ACCCAAAAAAAAAAAAAAAAGAAGAAGAAGATGGCATATGCTCATTTCTTTTCTTTTTCTTTTTTTGAGTTGGAGTCTCACTCTGTAGCCCCCTCATGGACACCCCAACCATCCTTCTGCCTCAGCCTTCCAAGTAGCTGGAATCACAGGCGCATGCCACCACATCTGTCTAATTTTTCTGGATTTATTGTAGAGACGCGATCTCACCAAGTTGCCCAGGCTGTTCTCGAACCCCTGGGCTCAGGCAGTCCTCTCGCCTCAGCCTCCCAGAGTGCCAGGAATACAGGCTGGAGCCACCGCACCCAGCCAATTTGCTCATTTCTGACCATGGGTGCCGATTCTGACTGGATCATCCTTTATTGAAAAATGGATGGTGTCGAGGACCAGAGGCTGACCAGATTACTCTGCAGAAAGTGAACCTGAAGACCGCCAAGCCTTGAGATCCAGGCCTGGGCTCCGAAAACAGACGGCGATCTGTGCTGTGGTCACCAGAGTCATCATGAAGAAATTAACTACATGACCTTGAAACACACCGCATTTTTGCAAGTCTGTGCAGCCCAAGAGCAATGTACGGTTGGTTCCACTCTTCTCCAGATTCCGCCCGCCTCCTCTCCTTCCCTTCTAAGATGCTGTTCCTGCCTGTCCTTGCCTTTGACCTTGCTCTGAACATTGTGTTCCTACTCTCCCCGCCCCAGCTTCAGACTCCCTCCGACAACCCCAGGAGAGCACCCCCTCCTACCGCCTGGGGAGGCTTTCCTAAACCATCGTCTTGGGCGAGGCCAGCACATTGAGGTCACTGCTCTCCCTGCCAAATGGCTGGCCTGAGTTCAGTGTCTCCAACTGTCTGAGATTCATGGAAAACATGACATGGCTCCAGGCTCTCTAGTCTATGGCCTGCCTTAGCCATGTCCTGCTTTGCATCTGATTTGTGTTTCTCTCCCGCCTCCCTTTTCTTTCCCTGACTCGACAGACTAGAATCACATCTGTTTTCTAGCCTCTGCCCTTCACTGTGGAGCAGATGGGAGAAGAGCCAGGCAGATCCAGAAAAGCTGGACTTTGTACTCAGATTTGTTGACCATGGATTTGACTGACCAGAATCCATGTGTCGCAGAGATGGAACACATAGCTCCCTCGGAGGTGTCAGAGGTGCTTATGAAGTGCTATTTGTTTATTTCTTTTTTTTTTTTTTTTGAGTTGGAGTCTCACTCGGTCGCCCAGACTGG